AGTGGAGGGACCTTTCTACTCCAAATTCTGAAGATCTTGCACCTTAAATTATTCCCACTGTTCTGTACTAATATTTCTGTTCTCATTGCTGTGTTAGGAAGGGAATTTTGTGATATACCTCCAAAGAAGAAGCCAAAAAAGGACAAGATAATTTAACAGAAAGAGCATAAGCTAGGTCATCCCACTGAAGAAGTGGAAAGACAAATTTGCTGCAAAATTAATTCTGAATTGCTCTAAAAAAACTCTATAACTAATTCACTTTCAGGGCAAAAAAAAAAAAAAAAAAAAAGGAAAGTCCATGCTAGAAGCAGCAGATGACCACACTTTTCACACAACTTTTAAAACTTGTCACTGCTTCCAGCTGTTTCACTTTGAGTGAAACTAGAGGGATATGTGGTGATTCTGGTAAAAGGATTCATGGGATGTGAGACAGCAAATCAGTATTCTAATAACATTCGAAATAAGGCTGGACTAAGCCTTAGCACAAAAAAGGAAAATAATAGAGAAAGTATTAACTTTACTGTCTCATATTATTTCTCCTAATTTCTAAAATTTTGAGCTCTTTAACTCTTCGTTACTATCAGTGATTTTATTTTCTGCTTTAGAAAACAAAAGCAGACAAATGGCCAGGATTCTTGTGCAGGACTAAACTGGGATAAAGCAGTAAAGAAAGTCACTCCAAGTTGGACAACTTCCTTATACCAAAACCTTGAGCTTGTAACACAAGATAACTTTTACAGCTCGGTATTAGAAAAAGATAACCCACATCAGAAAGAAAATTGACTTTTGTAAGCTCCTCTCTTCTATATACAACGGAATCACCATATGCTAGCTTCCCTCCTAGCACTTCTGTGCCAAGGGAATGTAGAAGTGGTCATTGAACTGCACAGCTGCTGTTGATGTTGCAAAGGAAGTGGTGCACAGAGAAGGTTACGTTTTTCAGCAGCAGCAGCAGCATGCAAAGGACATTCAAAGGTAATGCAAAGTTACATCATAATTCTCTCAGGAGCAGACCTTTATGCTTGCAGATACTATACATCCACATACAATATTCTTGCTGTTAACAGTCAGAAATTTAAGGGACAGACTGATGGCTGTGCATCTGCTAAACAAGGGTTGCAATTTCCTGGACTGCATCATGTTCCTCCACAGAAGGCTAGGCATGTTCACAATATAAGATTTTATTACTGGAGACTGGTGAAAAATAGGTGTACTAGAATTAAACGTATCACCCATCGCAGATCACAAATACTGAAACTCAGCCTCATTTCTGTTTTAGGGAGGCAATAGCATACCTGCGTAAAAGATATTTAACCTCACTACTGAAGTTGCATTCAAAAATGTTAAAAAATTTGCCTATCAGCTGCTTCCAAAACAAATGAAAAAATAACAAAAATGTACGCAAGTCTGATGCAGACTCTCTGATAAATGCTTTCAGGATTAGGTAGGCCTGATTTACAGTCAGAACTGTAAAAAAGTACCCCAACGAGAGAAGGAAAGGTTTCCCCACCCTTTCTGTGATGCATTTGACTCCTAAGAAATTTCCAGATGTATTTAGCAGCCTGCTGATGCAAAAAGGGCAGTGCGACCACACAGCTCCTACCCGCCACCTACGTCAGGTATACTGCCCAAATGCCTTTCATAACACAATTCCACTCACTCCACTGTCACTGTCAGCGTTCAATCAGATCAGCTAAATTATCTCAGAGAGATCAAGATAAGCATCAGGAAAAGCACAAAAAAAGAAACAGAAAAACAATAGAGGGACAGATTTCTTACAGTTCATCTCTGCTGAAGGGGGAAGGTCCACATGGGTCCATTTCACTACAGACACTCCCAACTGGGCTCTCCTGCAACTCATCTTATGTTGACTCCGGGATGTGTTGGATCCCTCCATGAACAAATTTAACTCACCTGAAACAGCAGGAAAGTAACCTGGGGAGAGTGTTTTTCCTCTGCTGGCCAAAAGAGTTAGATCTATTCAAGGAAGGGTCCAAACAAGAATCTGAATCGGCAAACAGAGGGGATAAGACCAGGCAATTTAAAACTGAAAGGGTCAGTGATGTTTATTTCCACTTTCCCTAAGCAGTGAAACAGCATTTTTCTCTTGAAAAGAGTATAAAAATAATATCACATTTATAGAAGAAACAAATTCAGTTACAAACAAATGTGCATTAACATCCACTATTAAGTTAGAATCAGCCCTTTCAGAGGGCAGAAAACTGAAAAGCAAATTAAAACACAAAACAAAAAAGCTTCTTGTCTGTTACTCATGATTTTATCACTATCAGTGATTTAAAAAAATAAAGAAAGAAAGAAAAAACATCCTAACAACAGCAACAGAAAAAGGGCAAGCCTGGCTGGAAAACATGGTTATAGGAGTTGAAATTTAGAAAGTCAATAGTAAATACTTCAATTTCACTGCTTTACTACAATGACAGCTCAAGTCTGTTTCAAAATGGATCAATTGTATCTAACCTCACTAGTTTTACAATAACAAAGGTAAGAATCAAATATCAGAAATACTTTTAGTCGTCAGCTCTAACAAAATCTAGTAGGAATTTTAAATATGATCTGTTTCATAGTAAAAGTTAAATGTAGCAAACTTTTGCCATACTGAGATATGGCCAAAGACATTTGACAGCCTGCAAGAAGGTTTATGGGAAATGTATATTCCACAGAAATCCAAAATGATGCAAACCACCCCATACCCACCAGTGATCCTTTTTCAGAAAACTGCTATAATCTGTGCTAGCCACCAGCCAGCAATCTCCTACATCTGAATTATGCTTTAATTTCTTTAAGGCCAATTTAGTGAGGAACGATGTATGTAACAGATAACATCTCAGGCACCATGCAGGTCACTTAAGTTTCCGCACAGTAAGTTTAAGACGTTCAGAATATACATTGCCCTGGAAAAAAACGCTGATTTCAAGCGTATTTACCCACAGGGCCTAGTAACCTTCAGCAGCTCCATAAAGCAGTAAAACCATTGGAAAGCACCAAAGGAATGCAATGAAAAGCACCTAATGTCAATTTCTGCTTGTTGAAACGACCACAGCCCTCGACAGAAACCCCCCCAGAAAAGAACCGTGGATGTAGTTCCCAGTATAACTGCAGCAAACCAGATGCCTCCAGCTCGGAAGCGCCCACCCTAACGAGCAAGGCTCAGCTCTCTGCCCTACGCCCCACTCCCTCCCCCCGCTCCCCAGTCACCTTGCCCCGGTTGGGCCCCGTCACCTCCAGCGCCTCGGTGCCCCCCGAAGCGCCCGCCCGCATGGAGGGGCCGCGCCACGTCCTCAAGTCGCCCCCAACGAGCACCTCCTGCCCCCTCCCCGCTCTTCACACGGACGCTCCCAGGGCGAAGGCCCAACACCACCAACCGAGCAGGCCCAGCGAAGGGCGGACGGCTCGGGCAGAGGACAAGCTCCCGAACCGCCCCCCGAACCCGGCGCCTAGCCGCCACCCGCAGCCCCAGGCACCTTTCTCCTCCCGGCTGTCCGCCGCCATCCCGCTCCCGCTGCTGCCGCCGCCGCGACGCGCTCAGCGCTTAAGATGGAGGCGCCCTCTCCCAGCGCGTAACAATTCCCGCTCCCCAGCATGCACCGCTTTGTTTACGCACTGAGCGGCGGCCGCCGCAGGGGGGCGGGAAGAAAGCAGCGCTCGGTTGCGCATGCGCTGTGGGAGGAAGACAGCGAGCGCGGCGCGTGCGTGCGTAGGGCCTTCCTGCGCAGAGCGTGTGCGCATGCGTAGTTCTGGCATTTAAGGGGAGTTCGATGGAGTGGTTGGGTGTGCCTTAGTTGTGTTTGTGGCTTTAGTGCTTTTTTTTTCTGTTGGTAAGCGAGCTGTAGAGAAGGAAAAAAAGAGTAGAAAAGGGGTATAGGTGTGGAAGAGAGGGCCTTGCTTTTTCAGTCTGAGGGGAAGCCCACGTGTGGTGTTTCTGCGGCGGCTGCCTGTGGTGGTGGAGCTCCGGTGGCTCCTTAGTGGGGCACGGCAGCTGTGGCTTTCCTTACTGCTGGGAATTGGGCTTCCCCAGATTTCTCTCAGATGTGTGAATGGTTTGTGGGTCTGAAGGAAGTCTGTCTGTGGTTTTGTTGTTTCTTTTCTCAAGCTGGACTAGTTGTTTTTTGGCGCTTTTTTTTTTTCTTATAGTAGCGTTCAGCTTGTTTTGTAATAACTATGACACAAACTGAGTGATGGAGTTAATACATTGGAAAGAAGGGAAAACAGTCAGAGGGACCTGGACAGGCTGGAGAAGTGGGCCCATGAAAATCCAGTGAGGTTCAATAAGGCTAAAGGCAAGCTGTTGCACTTGGGTCAGAGCAATCCCAGGTATTGATACAAACTGAGGGAAGATCTCATTGAGAGCAGCCCTGCAGAGATGGCCTTGAGGGTTCTGGTGGATGAGAATCTGGATATGAGCCAGCAGCATGTGTAGTTGCAGCCCAGAAGGCCAACTATGTTCTGGCCTGTATTAAAAAGCAGGTGGCCAGCAGGGAGAGGGAGGTGATTGTCCCCCTCTACTCAGCTCTTGTGAGGCCCCATTTGGAGTACTATGACCAGGCCTGGGGCCCCCAGTACAAGAAGGATGTGGAGGTGTTGGAGCAGGTTCAGAAGAGAGCCACTAAGATAATCAGAGGGCTGGAGCACCTCTCCTGTGAGGAAAGGCTGAAGGAACTGGGATTGTTTAGCTTGGAGAAGGGAAGGCTCCAGGGAGACCTCATAATGGTCTTCCAGTACTTGAAGGGAGTCTATAAACAGAAGGCAGTATGGCTGTTTGCAAGAGTGGATGTTTATAGGATAAGGGGGAATGGTTTTAAACTGAAACAGGAGAGGTTCTGGTTAGGTATTAGGAGCAAGTTTTTCACACAGGGTGATGACATACTGGTAAAGGTTGCCCAAGGAAGTTGTGGATGCCCCATCCCTGGAGACTTTAAAGGCCAGGCTGGATGCGGCTCTGAGCCGTTTGGTCTGGTGGTTGGTGACCCTGCACATAGCAGGGGGGTTGAAACCAGATGACCATTATCATTGTGGTCTTTTTCAACCCAGGCCATTCTATGATTCTATGTATAAAATAAGCATGTGTTATCAAGCCATGTTGTCTTTTAAAGAAACTTAGAATTGGCATGTGTTTTCCTGACATAACCTGGGTGAAAACAGTTAGTGCCTAAATTTCAATTACCTTTCTAGGTAGCTTGTGAGGTGATGAAGGCACCTGAGTATTTTATTAGGGTTATATGTAACTCTCAATTATCCGAGAGCTCATCTTGTGCACTGTGGTATTGTAAATCCTATTAGCTATCTTGTTCCTGTTACAAAAGTTCTACCAGACTATTCTGCTCCTTGGGAGAGGTTGTACTACATGATGACAGCTGCTATAGACTGAGTGGTAATTCTTATTCTCAGACTGTAGGTCTTTGCTAGTGTCATCTGATGGACACAGCAGTCATCTTGGTGCCATGACTTCCTCCTACAAGAGCAGTATAGTTTCAGGGTGCTTTGCTTGGGATCTCTGATGTGCGTGCTTGCCCTCACAGAGTGGCTGGTTTAGTAAGAACATCTGGTCAGCCCAGCACCATTTGGTTAGCTGGCATAGAATGTTGTGAGGGAGCACATTTCCATTCTAGTGATGAAGCTTAGAGTACAAAATGTGCAATGACGTTGGTCAGTATTGTCCAACTTGTTTCAAAGGTATCAAAGCAAAGCCCAAAAGGAGGATAAAAACATCACTGTAAAGGTATAATGCTTCTTCAGTGAGATGTTATAAACTAGAATGAGGTGAAGAAGAAAAAAGAAAAAACAACTGGGATAACCTGATTCTTAAAGGAGATAGGAAGGTAAGCGTTCTTCAACTTTGTAGTGGCTTCCTTATCTGAATAAAGACTGTTAGTGCTTTGGTGATCTAACTGGTTCAACATTTTCTCATCTGTGAGTCTTTATCCTTCCTGTGAAATTACACTTCCTGATATATTCAGGATTTATCCTAGCAGGTTTTTTTGACACTAAACTCTCGATTCTTCAATCATAGACTGAAAAGCAATTTTGGTAGGCACATGTTCCTATCACCTCAGTTGGGTAAGCAGCTTTTGGAGTACCTTTCAGCAGCTGGAATGCACACAACAGGTTTACTTGGCCTGTGTTATTCCTGAGCAATGCTTGCCTTCTCATTTACCAGTAGTTACCTTGCGTTATTGATTTATTGCTTCCTTTAGGTTAGATTTATGGAAAGAAGTTTGGGAGAACCAACCAAAAAACCTGTCAAACTTTGTGCCTTCCACTAGATGGTACCATTGATGTGAGTTAACTGGAAGCTTAGTCAGAAAGCTGCAGTTTGTGACAGTGTACTTCTCTTTGAATCTTGCAGATGCTCTGAGGCAACCTTGGAGAAGGCCATGCTTGACAACCAGGTGTAGCCTCTTGCTGGGTTTCATCCCTTTAGTGTGGCACAAAGTTCAATTACAGTTAGTGAGTGTCTACCACCTTCACTACTTTGTAAGTAGTATGTTTAGAAAAAAAGTAAAAACCTACAGATGAGGACAGCTGCTGAAACCTTACTTGAGGTTGAAATCATTTCTTCTGAGTCTCACTTTTGAGTGGGAGGACAAGATCAAACCATCTCCAGATATCCCTTCCAGCCTTAGCCATTTTGCAGTTCTATTATTGGTAGGCATTTCTGCAAGAATTGTATGGTAAGAACTGCTCCTTGATGCAGTGAAGCAGTTTGTAACCTGTGTGGAAAGCCACAGCTACAATATACCAAATCCAGAAGGAGATGGGAGGAAAAAAGGGATACTAAGCTTGGTAGTGGGATTCTTTTAGTTCTCACTGTGCCAGAGATTTGGTGCACAGCCTTTTAGTTTAAGGGGCAGTTAATTGCTTTGCCCAAACCTGTTCTAGAAGGAATGTAGATTTCCCTTAGTGTCTGCAGAGAGTGCTTCAGAATTGAATTAAGAGAGAGACATTGATTAGGAAGGGCATTTAAAGGGAGAACTTCTAAAACCTCTGTATTAGTCTGTTCTTGTCTTTTTGCAAGTAATGGTTGATGGGCATTCTCTTAAAATTGTTCATTAAAGATGGGCTGCTTGTGAGGAGTGTCAGTGGTGACTGAGAATAGTCTATGTTCTAGCTCAGATGTGAGATCTGGGTGTGCTTTTGTGTGCAGGCCTTTTGCTGCCTGTGAGGAGCTTGAGTAGAGATTGTTGCTGACTGTTCAATAAGTAGATTTTGGAAAATGACTTGGTTGTAGGCTTGTTGTAGCCTGTGTAACTTGAAACATCTCCATTTATATATGAAACAGTGTGCTATATCAAGCTAAATTGTCTTTTAAAGAAATTTAGGATTGGTACATGCTTTCCTAGCATAATCTAGGTGAAAATAGTGCCTGTGCTTTGATTACCTTTCCGGGCTGCTTGTGAGGTGATCTGGGCAATGTACAGAACTGAGATGATGGAATACCACCTTTTTAAGGTAAGTTAATTGATCTGAGTTGGATTAAGATGAAAAAGCCATTGATTCAGAATTTCTCTTCCAAATTACAGGACAAGATTTAACTCTGTTGCTCTTCTCAAAAGGCACGTTTGTACAGGTGTGAGGCAGATCAGCAGAGAGCTATTCATGTAGCTGAATTATGGTATTTGTGTGTTCTGCTGATCTGCCTGTGCATTTGGATAATGTCACTATGTGTATCATTCTCGTAAAGGCTCACAAACTTTCAAATTGTGTGATTGTTAATCCTTGTCCCTTACCTAGAGTCCTGCAGAAGTCAGGTGTAGGTTATAACCACTTTTCTCTACTGTACTCTAATCTGGTTATGCCAGAAGTCCTTTCTAGGTTTACTTTGTGATGCTTGACATAATTTTGGCTACGTCAGTCCGTGGAATATGTTTTCTATTGAAAGGAAGATGTAAATTTTCTGGAAGAAAACAAGAGTTCTGGAAAACACTTGTTGGCATGGATAGAGAAGTGTTGTTCGTATTTGGTTTGATTTCTGGTTTGAACCTTAAGTAGACTGCAGGAACTGCAGAAATGTGGTTTGTGTGCCTTTTGTTCCTTGGCCTGAGTGCACTGACAGTAGCGTGCTTCCTGTTTATGAGATAATTGCTGTACTCTGGACTGAGTGTATGCCAAGTCCAAGTACTTCAGATCACTGAGTTTATTGGCTCACTGTGTTATTGCAGTGTAAACAGGAAACTCCCTGAAAATATTATTCCAAAAATGTATTTAATTAGTAAGCTAATGATAGAAGACTGGGGGGAGGCATGGGGGACAGAGAGAGGGGGCAGGGTGGGGGGGTGACAGCACGGTATTGGAATTATAAGGGGTAGAGAAATTAGAGTTCTTGGAAGCCAACAAGTTGTTTTCCTATCTCCCAAGATCTGTTTGGCTGCTTTTCCCAATTGTTGTTTATATTTGTGTGTTTGTTGCTTGTTCTGTGCTGTTTTCTTCACCTCCTCTTCCATTCTCTTCTTTGCCTTTTACCTCTGCCCTCTGATAATAAAGTTTCAGGCCTGTCGTGGTGAAAGTGATACTTGCACTGGATTTAAAGGAAGGTTAACTTCTTTCTAAGTAAATTCACTCAATAAATGCTTTTGTAAGTGCTTTGTTGCAAGGCAGTGACACTAGAGAATTGAATAGTTAGTTTCCATGACATGCAAGTCATAGGTGAAAGCTGATTGTGTTGGGTGTTCTCCTCTGTGTTTTTGTTTTGTTGTTATTTGAAAAACCTCCATTTCATTGGCTTTGCTGCAATTTTCCCTTCTTTGAGCACTTCCACTTGAAATATCAGACCTTGCGTATGGCTGAGGACATCCAGTGCTTTTCTGTTGTGGGGTGATCCTTTTTTTTTTATCTCTCCCATTCCTTTTGTTCAGTTGTGCTGTCCTCAGTTCTTACAGAGTCTTTTCTGAACTGATACAAGTCGCTGATCTGAAAGGAAACTATGTTTTTCAGGATGACTTGTCAAGGAGCTGAATAGTCACAAAGAGAACTGTCCTGTTGCAGCAGCAGTAAGTGTATCCTGCCCTGAGTCCAGCTGTCACCTGGTATGTCTCTGCGAATTTTTAGGTCAATCTCCTACTGAGTCAGGAGGTGGCAGCATGTCGCATTTGGTGCACACTTTGATACGAGACTATTTTGAATTACATTGTTGCTGAAATGTGATCCATAGTGATTATGCTCAGAGGGAAGAAAACCCAGGGCTTGCTCTAGATCACTAGTATGCAAGTGCTTCTCGACCTAGCTAGACCGTGTCTGGAGATAGCAGGGTTTGTTGTGGGTGGTATTTGTAAGTGGTAAGTTTCTTATTCTTTTGCTGTTTCCCCAAGGAACAGGAGAAGGGTGTAAGACTGCAGTTAAGGTCATCACTGAGATGTCATAATCACATCTGAGAAATATATTTGCATTGACCTGAATTCAGCAGAGTATTTACAGAATTATTAGAGCTCTTGAACAAATATTATGGAAGCTGTGAGTTCCTAATCAGAGACTTGAAATTAAACATGTCCTTTTGCTCCTTGCTGAATCATGTTACAGTTAGCTTTTTTTTACTGCCCATAAGCTCTGTAGCAGGAGCCCAGTGTACATACTATGCTGCACCAAAGAGGTGAAGAGTGTTTTTTGGTATTCCTTTCTTGCTCCCCTCTGTCTGCAGTGGTTTATAGTTGTTGAAAAATACAGAAGTACAGCTCTCTTCTCAATTGTTAACTCACTGGAAGTGTATGAACAATTATTTTGTGTGGTACAAACTGTCTAGCCCATTTAGACAAAGGATTAAAGAACAGGCTTGACAAGTCCAGATGTCTTCATGGTACTGTGATAACCCTATCATTAGTTAGATAGCCCTACCTTAACTTAGACTGAAATAGATAAATGGCATCTTCGTGGTAACCAAGGAATTTTTTTGGTCGCAAAAATAGTATCCAGTGCTCTACAAAAGTATTCACACCCATTGGCAGCTGTACAATTCAAAATTGTGCATGACAGACAGAAATCTTTCAGTAACATATAATGGGGAGAACATATGTCAAGCTTAATTGTCTTGTGCCTGTTTTATTTTTCCACTCTTCTCTCCTGTCTAAGGGAAAAAAGAGTTCTCCTTTATGGACAGATTTTCAGACTAGATTTTAAAGGAAGATAGCACTGTGTGCTGATTAGGTGAAGACTGTAAATGTCACCTTCTCCAGAAAGCTGAGCGCATGCTGTTGCAGCTGAATGCGGTGAGGGCTTTTCATGCTGATGTTTCTGGCTCTGAAGAGCTGTTCAGAGTTGGAAGTCTGATTTAAGGCTGTGTATATTCATTGTGATAATGTTGCTGAAAAGTCACATTTAGAGAATGAAGTTTATGTGTGGCAAGGTTGTAGAGATTTTTCTATTAAGTAGGTCTCTGGCAAGCCTAACCAAAATGAAACCCAGTTTTCCATCTGTTTAGTGGAACTTCAGGTGTTGAACAAGGTGTGTACATAAAGGTCTTCCTTCCTCTCAACAGAAGCAGTAGCCTCTTTTCTTCTATGTCTCTTCCTCTTCTGCCCTGGACTGCAAGAGACAGTATCTGGGAGAAATTGAAGGGCACGAAGTAAGATATTTTGTGCATATGTTTAGGCTTAAAAGTTATAATGCATTCAGTTTTTGGCCACTATAACATGAACCCCAGCAGAATGGAACAAAGTGCTGTGTTGTTGGTGAAAGAGGGGCACTACTTAAAAAGCTAATAGACAGCAGTTACATAAACGTTAAATATCTCGTTCTGTGCATATAGGCATGTGGATAACAGACAAAGTTGAGACATTCTACAGTGGCAGGATATTGCTTTGTTACCAATACTGTTCCTCCATACCTCTCA